TATTGTTGTTGTTGTTTATAATTTATACCATTAACCTCCCTATGATTTGACTGCGGTCTTGCCGGGTTATTTGTTACTTCGACACTCCTGCACTTGAAAAAAGATATCAATCTTTTGGTCATGTTAGGCAACCATAAAAAAAAAAAACCCAAAACCTAAATTTTCTCTCCAAGCCACAGCCAAGCATTCCTTTCTCTGTTCTATAAAGGCCGCCCACCCTCTCTCTTTGGAAAAAAGCTAGAGATCACGCTCTACCACTCCATCTCCCCCTGATTAGACAACACAAAACATTTCCTCTCTTAGCCGCCACATGAAAACCAATCACTTCCTTTTGTTTTCTCCATAGCAGATCGAAACTTTAGCCACTATAAACGCCATCTCCACCCCCTTCATCACTCTCTTAACGGTGGTTTTTTCCTTTTTTTTTGTTTTTTATTTTTTTCAAAATTATTTATGTTAATTTTATTTTTTTAATACTGAGTTGGTTAAAAATTTAACTTTGTAGTTTTTCTTATTTAAAACACTTTGAATTGTTATAGTGTTTCCCCTTATAGTTTTTTTTTTGTGATTTTTTTCAAAATTGTTTGTGATTTTTATTTTTTTTAATATTGAGCTGGTTGAGAATTATAGCTATGGCTTTTCTCACAAAACATCGTGAATTGCTACAGTGTTTCTCCATATTTTTTCTTTTTTTATGTTTTTTTATATGATTTTTTTTAAAATTTTCTTTTTCCATTTTTTTTTTTTTTTGTTTTTTTATATGATTTTTTTCAAAATTATCTTTGTCGATTTTTTTTTTTTTTTTGTTTTTTTATATGATTTTTTTCAAAATTATCTTTGTCGATTGTTTTTTTAATATTGAGCTGGTTGAGAATTTAAGTATGTAATTTTTTTAAACATTATGGATTGCTACAGTGTTTCCCCATGTAATTTTTTTAAACATTATGAATTGCTACAGTGTTTCCCCACATGATTTATTTTTTCTTTTTATGTTTTTTTTAGTATGATTTTTTTCAAAATTATCTTTGTCGATTTTATTTTTTTTAATATTGAGCTGGTTAGAATTTAAATTTGTAATTTTTTTATTTAAAACATTGTGAATTGCTATAATATTTTTCCCCATGGTTTTCTTTGTTATGATTTTTTTTTTAAATTATCTTTATCAATTTTATTTTTTTAATATTGAGTTGGTTAAAAAATACAATTATAATAAAGTTAAATCATATGAAGAAAGTATTGTAGTTTTCCTCACAATACACTATGGATTGTTATAGTATCTCCCCCTCATAATACACTATGGATTGTTATAGTATCTCCCCAGATGGTTTTTTTCTTATGATTTTTTTAAATTATCTTTGTTGATTTTATTTTTTAATATTGATTTGGTTGAGAATTACAATTATAATTTCACGTAAAGCTAAATCATGTGAGGAAGTATTGCAACTTTGATCCTCACGTAATACTGTGAATTGCTATAATATTTCCAACATGTTTTTTTTTTATTATTTTTTTTTGTGTTTTTTATGATTTTTTTCTTGTGCTTTTTATGATTTTTTTCAAAATTGTTTGTGATTTTTATTTTTTTTAATATTGAGCTGGTTGAGAATTTTGTTTTGTAATTTTTTTCTTTAAAACACGGTGAATTGTTGCAATATTTCCCACTAGTTTTTTTATTATTATAATGTTTTTTTCTAAAATTATCTTTGTACAATAAAGCTAAATTATGTGGGGGAAAATACTATAGTTTTCCTCACAAAACACTGTGGATTATTATAGTGTTTTCCTATATAGTTTTTTTTTTGTTATAATTGTTTCTAAATTTATTTTTATTGATTTTACTGAGAAAAACATTATAACTTTCCTCACAAAATACCGTGGATTGTTATAATGTTTCCTCGCATCAGTTTTTTTTTTTAAATTATCTTTGTTGATTTTATTTTTTTTAATATTGAGCTGATACAGAATTTAACTTTGTAAATTTTTTTATTAATCAAAAAAGCTAAATTATATAGAGAAAATAATGTATTTTTCCTTATAAAACACTATGAATTACTACAAATTTTTCTATTTATTCTTTAAGTTTTCGATCACCAACACAACTTTTTTTTTAATGAAATATTAACTCTATTATATCTTTAATTTTTATTATTTATATTTATAATTAAAACAATACCAAACATATTTATTTTATAGCTCGCAGCAGCATGTTTTATAATATGATAGAATGTTGCTGGAAACTGATCAAATATGTGACCCACGAGGAAACCAAAAGAAGTCATTATTTCCAGTATATCCTTTGTTTAAGAGAGATTCTTCCCCCGAAAACTTGTCACAAGCTCTTAGGCGTTGATTTTTTTGTGCAGCTCGGTGGCAGGGAACAACAATGCAGACCATTTAGTTTATTTTGGTGTGCAGTTGACGTGTGAGACATGGAGATCTTATGGAATTGTGATGGATTCTCTTGCCATGGAGTATGGAAAAACGGATCCCAAAGGAAATATTATTGTCTAAAGATCCTGTCCTGAGAATGAAAGCAGATACAAATGTTGGGGGAGATAATGTCACGGATTTACAATGAGAGGCCAGTTGTGAGCTTTTCTCCCCTAGCAAGCTTTTCTTTATTTTTATACTTAGAGCCTTCTTTGAAGATGTAGCTGAAGACCAGTGCCGTGAGCATAATCATAAGGCTTTATGTATATAGATATTGATTTTGTACATTCCACACCTTGTTAATATGAAGACACATTATTTGAATAAGCGTCCTTATAGTGGTGTGTATATGTTTCCATTTGAACTTGGATGGTTGAAGCGATGATTTTCATGGACTCCCATTGATGAACTGATATTGAAGTTAATTCCATTTTGGGGCCATGCAAATATTCATCCTGTGAGAGCGCAGTTAATGTTAAGAATTACTCTAGATGAGCTTGTGCGAGGTTGTAAATGTGCTTGGAGTTTTATCACCGTGTTGTAACCTAGGTCCTGGTACTAGATGCAATCCTGGTTTATCGAGTTGCGGCCATGGGGTTTTTTTTTTAGCTCCGCCATCTGCCCATGTTATAAGGGACTATTCAACCCACTATTACAATTGGGCTTATAATTGTTTCTTTCTTGTTTTCAGACCAATTTCTAGCTTTTGAAGAGATGTATACCGTTTTCACCCTTTCTTTGTCAACATGTTCCTGTATGTTTTGGCAACTTCCATTTTTTAAAAGCAACACCCTCATTTCTGCTTTTTGCAGGGTTCATCATCAGGAATGTGGAAGCTAATTGAAGGTGTTTTCTTTTCTCGTCTCCTCATGGTGATCCTGACAGAAAGTTTTTCTGTATTCTGTGTTGTTGCATATTTGAATTACTTAATTGAAATGTTAAGAGCTATTATCCCTCTTGAATCAATCTAGAATTTGAGACTGATAAAAACATATATAAAGGTGAATTAAGTTTTGAAATCGATCAGTTTGGCCATGAAAAAAGTACACCACAAGTTTTACGTACCACAAAAGTAAAAAATGAGAAGAGAATAACAAATTTATGATTAATCTTGACAGTTCTGATGAGTTCTTTCATTGGATGTTGCTAATTACCACATAAACTAGAAAAACAATTTACTTGATAAATAAATACAAGGCATTCAGCGATAAGTTTCACATATCCTGACTTTCCTCTCAAGTTGACAAATACTTTCTCGGTGAACCTACGCACCAGCTTATCTTGCAGAAAAGTTGTGTACTGTTAGTTCATTTGAATTTCTTTCATGCAGTAACATATAGACCTGAGAATTCTCCTGCTTCTTAATTTGTAGGAGGGCTTGCAACTTCTAGCTCAGCAGTTACAGGGTTTGCAACTTCTAGCTCAGCAGTTATAGGGTTTGCAACTTCTGGCTCCTCGTCAGCATTCTCTTGCTTCATGGCTTGAGGCTCTTCTGTACATGTGCAAGCAGATCAATTTAAAATATAATAACAACAAATTAATGTTTTTTATTTTAAGGTTAATCTGTCTCGAGTTTACAACAAACCATTTTCTGCTTCTTGTTTTGTTTCTTTCTCAACCGATGTTTCCTTGGCAACATCATCCAATTTAGCACTCTCATCAGACAAACTCTCCTTCTCAGACTTTCCCTCAGAAACGTTATCTGACGACTCTTCTGAAATCAACTTTCCTGGTTCCTGCTTCTCGACAACACCTTCTTCTTTAATCTCCACATCTTTGCCTCCTCCCTTCAATTCTTCTTTCTCATTTGCACCCTGTACGACAGCAACAACCTCTACTTTTGCATCTACATCTGCATCCTGTACAACAGCAACAACCTCTACATTTGCATCCTGTACAACAGCGACAGCCTCTACATTTGCATCTTGTTCACTAGCAACAGCCTCTACATTTGCATCTTGTTCACTAGCGACAACCTCTAAATTTACACCCCGAACACCAGCAACAACCATTACATTTACATCCCGAACACCAGCGACAACCTCTTTTGATGACTCTTGGCTAGGAATTTGCTTTTCTTTTTGTTCCTCCAATATGCTCGCGTTGACTGTAGGCTCTAAGTCTTTATAATTGCTTTTGTTGCTACCCACATCAGATTTCTTACGGGTGATGGTGTTTCCAGCGGCAACATCATGTTTTGATTTCCCACAACCCATTTTCTTGAATTTCTAAAAAAGAAGAGATATGCAGGCAATGAGAGTTCTCCCCCCTTCTTAATATAATTGAGGGAGAGAAACTAACTTTTGACTTGTTTGTCATTCTTTTTGGAGAACTTTCCATGCATGGTTGTATACTGACAGATGTTTTCCTGCTGTAACCATCTTTCCTTTAGAGATTCGGAGGTTGAGATTGGCTATCGGCGGATCAATGTATGAAGGGAGTTTATCTTTAGGCATGTTTTGAGGTGGCAATAGGAGGAATTATCAGGCACATGCACTGGTTTTAGGTTGTCTCATCTCATGCACAAGGTCTCTTATCTATTCCTTTTCCCTTCTATTGTACCGGTAATTATCGATATAATAAAGGGGAAGCCAGGCTAGCTTGGTGTACGTTATGACAGAGAATCAATCTGATAATCTCTATTATGGGACACAGACAAGTTCAATTCTTAATATTTGTTAAGAATTGAACTCCCTAACAATTAACTTCTATTAATGCACTGAAGACAGTACTTGATATTTATAAACCACCCAATTCATGTCCTTTTTCTTTTTATTCAAACAAATCATACATGTTCATCCACTCGAGACTGAGAGATTGATCCGAGTTAAAGATCAAAAAAAAATATTTAGTTAATCCATTCAAGCACGGTCTTCTTTACCCTTCCATCCCTCTACTCTACCCTTTTGTCATCCTTTTCTTCATCCGTCCTGCCAAATTGATATCAAACAAGAAACATATCCACCTCAAAATTTATCATTTTTTATTTTAAAATAAAAATAATTAATAATTATTAATAGCAAGAGAACTGATATTTTAGTAAAAGCAGACTAAGAAAGATCCTAAATTTACAGAAAAAATCAAGTTAGAATTTTTTTTTGACAAATTAAGAGCCTAATTGTATCTCTTTGTACCAAAACTGGAGAAACAATGTGAATTCCAAGTCAAGTTAAATGATTTCTAGATGAATCTACATAAAAATTAAATCTAAGGACATAATTAAATTGTTAATAGGCCAATTAAATTTTATTATAGCCCAAATTGAGAATTTAATTATGTTTAAGAATTAATTTGGATCCAATTAAATGATTTAATTAGGTACAAGGACTTAATAATACTTTAAATAGAATAAATTAATTTTAATAAGAGCTTAATTGGTGAAAAATTAAGTTGAAAAGCCCAATTTGGATTTAATTAAAAAGATTGAAATTTTAGGAGACCAATTTTAATTTTTACAAAGTCAATTAGTTCAAATTAAAGGTAAAATTGCAAGAAAATTAAAGTTTTGGGGAGACCAATTTTAATTTTTACAAAGTCAATTAGTTCAAATTAAAGGTAAAATTGCAAGAAAATTAAAGTTTTGGGATCAATTAATAAGGTCTAAATTGAAGAAATGCACAACAAATAACCATTTTGCAAAAGACATCAGACCATGGGGGGCAATTGATGAAAATTAAGGATGAAATTGAATAAAATTAAAAGTGTAATGATCAATTGAGAATCAATTTACATAAATCTAATGTGAAAAAGGTGTTAAAATACGGGATTGAAATTGAAGTTCTTCTAAGAAAAATTGTATAAAATTAAAAGTTTGAAACCAATCAGGAGTGTTATCGAGAGAAATCACAAATCAAAGAACTAAGTTGAACTTTATCAAAAACATCGTCATTTTAGTTACTATTCATCATCTTCTTCAAATTTTCATCAAAAAATTGCTTAGAGAACTATTTTTTAGAGGCATTTAATGCTTCATTTCTCCACCAAATCAGACAAAATTACATGAAAATGATCATCTAATATCTTACTACACCCTAATATCGTCTTTTCTAGTCAATTGATACCACAACAGTCGTGACACTAGTGCAAAGATACCAACTTAGGTAGCCTTCAACTGTCATATTTGACAATTCATGATTCTCATTTTAAGTCAACAGTTGAGATCCTTCAAGATTGAATCAAGGGTCAAGATTTAACATAATTACAGACAAGACATCTTTCTTTCAACCTTTTTAAATAGAGTTGTGTTTCATGGCATTAGCATGAAGAACATTGTGTGAAAAGTGGGTAAAAAACGATCAGCCCCCCTGTTATTTTTCTACAAGTTTTATTCTCCCTCCCATCTCTCCACTATGTTTTTAGTCGCTGCCACCTCAACACAACAGTTAACAAACCATAACACAACCTCCTCCACTAACTCATCTCCTCGTTGATGACAGGAACCACCACTGCTAATCTCTCATTCTCCCTTTCTATCGTAGACCTTTTCTTCTTCCTACACCACGAGAACTTAGCCACCACCTCAACATCACTACGAGCTCCCAGCCTTTCTACAGTCCCTAGCTAGACCATTGACAACAATCGCAACCTCTACACTAAGTAAGCCTCTACTTCTCCTTCCTTCATCCCTCATCTAAATGTAGGATGTGAAATTATTCATGTTCTATAACTGTTGGCAGCAAATGCAAACTAGATTGCACCCATTTCGGCTCAAATTAAATAACTAGGTCTAGTCCAACCCAGTTAAAAAAAAATCAATTTTTTTTTTTAGATTAACATGGATGTCCGAACCAATTAAAAAAAAAACCAGATTTGTTGGGCTATTAGTTGACCAAACTCAGCTTGGTCTGACCTAGTTGGCTAGACCGGCTCAACCCATATATTTATAATAATAATAATAATAATAATAATATATTAAAAATAAGTAAAAATAAGTAAAAATTCAAAAGGCCTTTTAAAAAATTTGTGATTTTATCGTATATTTTTCTAACAATTATACATAATATTATGTTGTCTATTTACATTGTAAGATATAAATCTAGCATTAAAATACTTGATTTTCTCCAAAACATTTCAAAAAACATTTTAAAAATTCAAAACAAATCTCAATTTTGTTTTAAATTATTTCTTCTTTCCAAAAAAACAAAAAAAAAATTATTTTTATGCATACGGCCGAATCCTAAAAGTTTTCTAAATATACTCTTTATATATATATAAAAAATACATATTTTGAAATTTAAAAATAGATATCATAACTAGTTTACTATTATCTATTAAGGTTCAACTAAAATATCAAAAATCATTCACCAATCATTTTACTCACTTTTATATTTAAAATGTTAGGGTTTAATTTTAGACTTTAATATTCAAGGGATGTAAAACTATACGGTAGAGTATACACCTAAATATTAAAGTATAAAATATAAAATAAATACGATGCTAAAATTTAGTTTTTAGAACGGTTAGAATTTAACCCGATAAGAAAGAAAAAGACTCTCTCATAAAAAAAAATCTATCTTGAACAGTAAATGAAACCATCAAATATAAATATGATCTAAAAAAATAATTAAACAACAATACAATTTATTTTAAATAAAATATACTAAAGTGTTGTGTTTACTTCTTACTTGACCAATTCCTTATGAGAAATCTTCAACCATAAATTTCCTAATAACCTGAATCCTATATTACAACTTTTTAATCTTATAATTATACTCAACATCCTTTTCTTTTCCGATATCTCGAGGGAGGTAATAGCGTGCCGTTCTACGCCATCCCCTGATAAAAGATATACCCTCCAAATGTTTCTTGGCTAAGCCACGGTGCTGGGTTTTGCAGCCTTAATTTGTGCCTGATACAAGCTCTGAATCCAAAATTACCCAATGCCTCTGATTTGACCTTCGCCAATAAGCTGAATCAATACTTGAATGGTAATTCCTTGCTTTGAAGGTGAAAGAGGGAGGGCTTTTGGTGCTTGTAATTCTGCTGCAGAGGTGAGTTACATTTTACTTTTGAGTAGTTATGATTTTTTGCACCGTTGAGATTCTACGAGGGTTTTTGCTCGTTCTTGGTACTAGAGTTGAAATCAATACATGTATAATAATCCACTTTTGAAAAATCGTGCATGGTGACAACAGTAGGAAGAACCGCCTACGAAAAGGAAAAAAGTTGGAGGATATATTTATGTCAATTTAATTTTTCAACAATAAGAAGAATATTTGTTTTTACATTTAAAAAATATTTATTTTTTATTTTTTTGTTTTACTTTAATCTTTCTTTAATATTTTTAAATCATTTTGATTTATTAATACCAAAAATAAATTTAAAAATATAAAAAATATTTTTTATCTAGAATTTCCTCGATGTCAAATGAGCTTTCAGTGAAGTTACAGAAAGAAGGTTTGTAAATACACATCTAATATCATTGAAATTGTTCCATCCTCGAACTGTTCCTGGCTTTGTGATTATGCAGATATTTTTTTACATCCACTGTTTCACCCTTTATGTTATGATTAATGTTTAAAATTTAAATATCAACAATTTTTGGAAAAAAAAAAGAAAAAAAAAGAAGTTTTATATGAAGTGGGACAACGGAAAATGCAACATGTGTTGTCTGTTCTACTGTGAACCTATTTTTATTTATTTAATTAAATTAGATAGTCTACTTTCATGTGGATTCACCTCGAGTGTTCATCATTTTGAAGTGGATATGGGCAAGATAGCAAGAAAGAAATCAGAGTCGAGAAGATGTATAGTCTGTTTTACCTTCCCAGATTCCTTTATAAATGCATTTTTTTAAGTATAGTTGAATAATGAAAAAATTCATATGCACAAAATGTAGATATATTTAATATCTATATAAAAAAATTAACTTATTTTAATATATTTAACATGTTTGAATAAAATAATAGACTTCACTATGAAATATTTAAGAATACAATAGCGATTGTATTTTAAAAATTTTTTATTTGAAAATATATTAAAATAATATTTTTTTTATTTTAAAAAATTATTTTTGAAACAGCACAAAAAAATAATCTAAAAACAACCAAAAAATTAATTTTTAAAAAATAATAAAATTTTAAAAATATTGTTGAAAAAAAAAATAAACACAATATATCTATATATATCTAGAGTAAAAAGAAATCATCTCAACCTAATAAATTAAGTTATTAGGTTTGGTTTTAAGATATGATATATATTATTTTTTAAGATACTTACTCAAGTGAAAGTTCTTGAGGTTTGAAATTTACACTGTCTTGAATTATTTTATACTTAATTTTTATTAAATAAATAAGAATAATGAGATTTAAATTCATAATCGCTTGATTTTTAAAGTTATAATACTATGTCAAAAAACCATTTTAATCCAATAGTTTAAGCTGTTAGATTAGATCGCAGGATATTATTTATATTATTCTCTAACACTTCACTTCTCTTATGTTTGGGAGTAGGATTAAAATTGTATTTAAAAAAATTAAATTTTTTATTTTTATTTTTTATATTTATAAATTATTTTAATACGTTAATACTAAAATTAACTTATAAAATATAAAAAAATATTATTTTAATATATTTTGAAATAAAATATATTTTAAACTGCATCATCTACTATCACATTTACAAGTTAAATATATTGCCTGCAACTTGAAGCTTTGTTTGCATGTGCAATTCCAATTTAAGTGCAACTGCACAGAACTCTAAGCAGACTCTCTTCCTTTCTCTGGGACTTGGAAACGAACAAGAAAGGAATAAATCTTGCGGCAGCCTCCACGCATGGTGATTTTATTTTCCAAGGAAAATCAGCCGGTACTGGGAATTAAACATGTTCTGCTCTCGATTAATGATTTTAAATCTGGTTCTGAACCGGTTTAAAATCTAGTTTATAAATTATAACTGAATCAATTCTATTTTTTTATAAATTAAAATGGTATTATTTCAATAAAAAAATAATAACTAACAAGTTATAATCAGATTTTTAACTAAATCTTGCTTTATTCAAGAAAATACCTTACTTTGGTTTTTGGTTTTTTTTTAAATAAATATTAATGAATTTTAGTTGATGCTGGAGCTGTAATCTTGACAAAAAAATATTAAAAATTTAACTAAAATTTCTTCTTTTTTTTTAATGTATATTTATAATGTGTTTATCTACCTCGCACGTAAACATCACACTAGGATATAATTGTGCTTTAAATACTTTTAAGAATAAGATAAAAAAAGATTAAAAAAAATGTATTTTGTGTGTTTTTATATGTAATAATTGATATTACTCGTAAACTTGAAATAACATAATAAAGTCATATAATTATTAAAATCAATAATTAAGTGTTATAATTAAAATAAATAACTTAGAAGTGATTTAAAAACCTTGATTTTTACACCACCATGTTAAAGATTTATAAGTTTTAAAATTTTTCATCTTAAAATTTTTTTAAGATAATATTTTTTTAATATTAAAACGATATCAAACCAGATTAATCTTGGCTACTCTGCGATCTAAGCCATGAATTTTAATGAATTTAATAATTTTATTTTTTATAAATTATTTTTATGATAATATTCAATGCTTGCAAAATTGAATATTAATTCTAAAAAAATATTTATTTAAAATTATGATAACTCTATAGAAAATATAAAAAAATAAATCATGAATTTTATTTCTCATCCAACCCAATATTAAAGAAGAGTGAAATAAAAAAATTAATAAATAATTATATAAAAATTAAATTAAAAAATCAATAACCAAAAAAAAAAAAGAATCAAAATGCCAAAAAAAAAAATAACAATGTACTAATGGGTGTGGAGAAACAATATTTTCCCCACACTTTTAGCTTTATACTTAATTAAGTCACATATATTTTTTTTATTAAGATTAAGCTGATTTATTCCATCATTACAATCAAGGTTTTAATGGAAAAGAGATTTTTAAAAGAGAATATTTTCTCTAAATGTATTAACTTAAATGGAAAGGGATTTTCTTAAACCTTTTTGTTTGGAAGCTTAATCTATATTAGTAGAAATTTTTAAAAAATATTTTAACAAAAAAATCTTATTTTTTATATTCTGATGTTAACCACCCATGAATCTTATTTTTATGTTAAAACATAATACTGAATAATAATATTTTTTTATAATTTTTTGTTTGTAGAACTCAATATTTTTTGATGGATTTAGGTTGTGTTTATGCTTTTGTTTTTGAATGCTTTTTTTAAAACAGTTTTTAATTTGTAAAATATCAAATTGATATATTTTTTTTAGTGTTATTTGATGATTTTAAAAAATTAATATCAAAAAATAAAAAAACTAAAAAAAAATATTTTAATATTTTTTCAAATACAAAGCTACTTAGAGTATGAGAGGAGGTGTTTATATTTAATTTTTTAGTACTTGGAAAATTATTAAATTGATGATTGTTTAGTATTTGTTTTTCTAATATAATAATATGATAAACATAGGCTCGCTCTGCCTCTCCCACGAAAGGGGGAAGATATGCATGTGAAAATGCCCGCTGCCTTTTCGTGATAGTTGTAGTGATTTCCAATTGGTCCATGCTGCGGCGCCTGTCGCTTTGTATAAATTCACCACCCGCTGGCAGCCCCACCTTATCCCCTTCTCCTCTCTCCTCCTGCATGCCCCACTAGACGTGCTTGATGATTTTCATGGATAATTATCAAAATCTTCCTATAAAAAACTAAGAAATATCTTTATTTTTTTTTATTTTTAATTGTGAGTGTCCAGATAATCTTAATCTTAACTAATTTTCTAAAATCTTGATATTAATTACTATATAAGTATATAATAATATGATATTTATAATACTAGAACTGATTATTTTTAATAAATAAAATTAAAATCTGATAATTAAATTATATTTCTTATAATTTATTTTTTTATTTATTATAAATGGTTATCAACATTTTTTTATTTTTTGAGGTAGAAATAACCCATTATTATATTATTTATCTATCAATAAATGAGTTGGATTTAGATTTTCTTGATGAGTTACTTCTACATCTATCCAATTGACTTTTTTTTATATATATATTTAATGAACTATTAAATTAAGAAATGCATCATGCTATTTTTATATTTATCAAACTTAAAATATAAAAAAAAATTAATATAAATATCGAGTTTGATAAATTAATTTTATTATTTTTAAAATTTTTAAAATGATATTTTTTTAATTTTATATTTTAATATTAAATTAATTTAAAATTAAATTTTATAATTTATTTTAATTTTTTTATAACATTATTATAATTTTATAACTTGAATTATATATTTAATATGCCAATCTATTGAATCGATAAAATATAACATTATTTTAATATTTTATATAAAAAATATATGCTAAAATATCAAAATATCACTGTCGCGGTATTTGAAAAAATATTGTCTGATTAAAACAATTTATTTTTCTCACAATTTCTAGCTAATAATCTGGTTGAAGCTAATACAAGAATACCGTGAATATTATTTTTTTAACCTTCTCTAATAATCTGGTCGAAGCTAATGTCTGAATATTTTTACCATTAAAAGTAAAGGAAAGGAAAAGTATCAGTGGATCACTTAAAAAAATAAAACAGATTATATTTCTCGTTGCAAATTGCTGGCGGGGTGGCTTTCTATTGATTGCTGCTATTTTGAGGATAAGGACAAGACCATCCCATCCTTCCCAAATCAGGAAAGTCCTCTGTGCAGCCCTAGTCTTTCCTTCCTCTTTCTCTCTACTTCATTTTTTTATCCTCTCATCCATTCCTCCATAACTCATGGAATCCACTCCTGTTTCCAATGAACGTCTTGATTTTGGAAAGATGGGTTACGGGTGCCTTTTCTTTCTTCCCCTTCTCTCATTTCTCGGTTTCTTGATGTTTCCTCATACTTTTCTTGTAGTTTCATTCCCCTTCTTCCATCTCTTAGCTTGGTATTCGTTTCTCGATGTTAAATTTTCTTTTTTTTGTAGATGCCAACATTACAGGAGAAGGTGCCAGATTCGAGCTCCATGTTGCAACGAGATTTTCACTTGTCGCCACTGTCACAACGAGGCCACGGTATTATAATATTACATCTTCGTTGTTGGGCTCAATGTTTCCATCTTTATACATTTTCTTGATCTGGATTGGCTTTCTAGGAGCTTTTGTAGCAAGATTTTCTCTATCTTGTTCTTCCTTCTTTAGTTTGAAAGTTTAATTAATATGCTACTCTTGTATCATTTCTTCTTTGATTCTTCTAGAGCAATATTCTTGTCTCTTCTTGTCCTTTAAGCATGTAACTGTTAAATATTCGTATTGATACGGGGTTATTTGGCATCTTTGATTTATCAGAATATGTTGAAGAACTTCTGCGATCGTCATGAGATCAATCGATATGATGTCAAACAAGTATGTTGTATAACCTTGGTTTGTTGCTCACAAATTTTGTTTTGCGATGCATGTTTTTTGATTTTCTTAAGCTACAGGTTTATGAATTAGCATTGATGTGAGAGATGTGGCTTGTATTGATGTTTCAGGTTATATGTGCAGTTTGTGACACAGAACAGCCAGTATGAATATTTCTGGATTTGTAATTGAAAGTTATCTTGTTGGGTTTTTCTTTTCTTTTCTGATTTTGATTGTATTTTATTCATTATCCGGTTTCAATTCTGTTCCAGGTTGCTCAAGTTTGCACGAACTGTGGTGTAACTATGGGGGAATATTTCTGCAAAATTTGCAAATTCTTTGATGATGATGTAATTTTACCTTCTGAAATCGATTTCTCAGCTTTGGTCTGTTGAATATTGATTCTTTACTGTCAGAACATTCGCTTCTTTATTGCTATTGAGTTACCTCTTTTACCATCTTATTACTTGGTTGTTATTTGATTTTTGATGAACGGTACTTGTTTAACATTTGTAGTTGATGCTAACTTGTTCTGGTTACATTCATTAATTGCAGACCGCAAAAGGACTGTTCCATTGTGATGATTGTGGGATCTGTAGGTGAGTAAGCTTGTTTGATCAGTTTATCCTGTTTCTTTCTTCTGAAAAAACTGTTTAAGGAACCCACAAGATTAAACTGTGTTTGTTCGTGATCAAAAACAGAGTTGGTGGTCGCGAAAATTATTATCACTGCAAGAAGTGTGGTATGCATTCACTACCTTTTGGCTTTGGTGTTCCCAACAGTTGGATTCTCATCACCTCAAGCATGCAATTGGTTACCATGTTTGGTATTTGTTTTCCTTGTTGGTATGCACATAAGCACATAACCTTTCCAAAAACAATATGCCTCCCAACCTCTCTTTTATACCTCTGCTGATGTAAGCTCTTTGTCAAGAGTTTTGATTTCGTCTATCTATAGATTACATGGATATGGTTTTAAAGCTTTCTGTTTTCCATGTTCAAATCTTGAATACCAACTATGTTTGATAAGTGTGCAGGTTCTTGCTATGCAACATCTCTTCTTGATAATCATTTGTGTGTGGAGAACTCTATGTGTCATCATTGCCCCATATGTTATGAGGTTGTTATTATAATTGCCTTAATTGTGTGAAGAAGAAATTTTATATATATATATGTATATACACTGACATTTCCGTCCTTTCTTCTGTAGTATTTATTTGATTCACTAAAAGAAACTAATGTAATGAAATGCGGGCACACTATGCATGGTGAATGCTACGATGAGATGATAAAGCGTGACAAGTAAGTAGTCTTCAGTTCTTTTTTTTTTTTTTTTCTCTAGTGATCTACATGTCAAAAATTGGTTTCTGATTGAATTGATAACATTTACCAGATACTGCTGTCCCATATGCTCCAAGTCTATAATTGACATGTCTAAAACCTGGAAGAGAATAGATGAGGAGGTAAGTTACTATAAATTTGAGCTTAAACATGGATGCTAGACTGCTAGTTTTAGTTAATCTTCTCAAACTTGCTTGCTATAACACTATAGCCCTGCATCAAATCTATTACAATACTGATTTGTTATAACATATGTTGTCAGATAGAAGCAACTGTCATGCCTGAGGATTACAGCCACAGGAAGGTGCACGCCTGCTTTTCATTCTTTGAAGCCAACCTGGAGTTACATATTCATTTTGTCTGTTATTTTACCCTTTATTCACTTGCATTTAAACATTGCCACGGCACCACTCAAGCTACCTGCTTGTGAACTATGATGTTGAACCGACGGGCAGCATGATGTGAAGCTAAGATTGAGTATCATTTAGTCATCATTATTAGGAAAAGGTTTCGATAAAGTTGCATGAAGTTTTCAATGCGTCGAAAAAGATGATAGCTAAGCGTTTTCCTTTTTCATTAGCATTAAAAACTTTTGCAGACATTCCAGCCAGGTTCGTTTCATATGACTGAACACACAACAGTATTGCGGTAATAAACTCACCGGAGTTGGTATGTATGTTAATTCAGGTCTGGATCCTATGTGACGACTGCAACGACACTACCGAAGTTTATTTCCACATAGTCGGGCAGAAATGCAGCCACTGCAAATCATACAATACCCGAACAATTGCACCTCCAGTTCTACCTCAATGAATAGGTTTGGCAAAATGCATCCAGCCTCGTAGGAGCATTGGTTGCTTGCATGTGAACCATGCTGGATATTTTTACGTGTATTAGACCATTTTGAATGCTGGCTAATTGTTTACTAATTCTGTTCTATTGCAAAACGATTCAGAAGTGGCCTCTGGGTGCCTCAGAAACTTCTCTCAGGTTATTCTTCCTCCAATATTGGGAGTCGAAACCCAGTTATTGAGTCTCTGGGTTCTTGTAAACTTCTCTTTATACACAAACAAACCAAAACAATGGTTCCTGTTATGTACTCCTTCTGATTATGTCATCTTGTTGAATTTTCTGGTATTGTATAATAATAGCCAATCCGCTATCCATTGCGGGTCGGATATGTTACTTACCAATAAAAAATTAAACATGCAGGTATTTTCAAAGTGTTTTTTTTATATTTCCAAAATATAATAAAAAAACTTATATATGTGACTAATTAAATAAATTGAGAACTATTTATATAAAAAATAAAAAAATATCATTAATGATAAATAAAAATGAAATTAAAAAAATTAAGAACAAATATAGATCAAGATATTTAATCTCATAACAAAAATTTTTTATTTGGTTGTGGTTAATGAATTTATTTATTAAAATTATTTATTTATTAAATTAAATTAATTATAATAGAAACTCACACACATAAAATTAATTAAATAAAAAAATAAAATATTAAATAAGGCTTCACATATTATAAATATTATCCAAAATATTTTTTTATTTTTTAAAAATAAATTTAATTTATATAAAATGCATAAAAAAGGTATATATGAATCAAACTAACCCAATAAAAATGAAATACACACCATATAATTAAAAAATAATTGATGCTTATAAAAGGCTAAATAAGCCAAAAACATAATAGAGAAGAAGTATTAATTAAAATATAAATTTAAAAATTACTTAAAAACAAAAAAAACAATTTTTTAAAAAGAAAATAGGCCAGCTGTTGTTGGGCATGGTACGTTGAGCTAGGCATCTGGCCCATAAGGATAGAGCCTTTTGACACAATAAAAAAATTAATGTCTTCTTCCAAATATAATAGTGTCAAAATAATAAATAACCCAACAAAACTATGGTCGAACCACAGGGAGGTTAACAATATAAATTACAAATAATAATAATAATCATAATAAGTTAAAAAAGACTTTGAGATGTAAGATTAATGTGAGGATTAAACATGATAAAAACAAATGTTAAGGTTAGAGGATCCACTAATAGTATTTCAAACAAGTATAGTATAAACTCTTTTTATTACTCAAATAGAAACCACACACAAAGAAGTTGCAATTGGATTATAAATTATTAATATGATTACATTAGTTTTTTTATTCGAATAATGTTAATACTTGTAAATGGTGTTAGGTATTCATGATTATAACTTATGTTAATAACAAAACAAGTTCTTTTCATATCACAGGTATCGATTATACCATACGGTTGAGCTATGAAAGTGTCAAGTATTTGTTGTACCAAGAATTATATAATATAAATCTAGATTAACCACTTAATAAGCAAAGTATTAAAAGTGAATAAGATAACAAATATAAAACATGTTAGTATCAAATATTAAAATCCATGTTGAGTATATATTATACTTATTCCTTACACCATTAGTGTAATATTTTCACCTTGACATAATAAACTTAGCTAAACATAATGAAGAAGAGAAACATAAATAAATAAGATAAGAGTATAAATAAGATATAAGTTAAATAAGTAGAGGAAATGAAAGGCATAAGTAAGATATTAATGAAAGCAAAACTTAAGTACTACAAAAATATAAAGCGAGCAAAAACATGATCTTGATTTGAAAACCAAGATGTCTAAATACATGACAAATGCTTCCTTTTATAGGCTAAAATTTGAAACTATGGATTTGTTGACTAATTGTTGAGTGGGTGACCACATCTTGACTTGGTGACAATCCTTATCTTATTATCTGAACAAAACGTCATTGCTAACATTAGAATTTGAACAAATTATTTTCATGAAAGTTTTGGGAAATTATCTCAATTTTCCAACAAAAAAAATAATAATAAGTGCATTTGGACTTCTAGAACTCAAGATATGGGATGAACACTGAATAGTATTTAAGCTACAGGACATATTCGGATTTTTCTGTTGTTGCTACAATTTGAACTTGAAAATGACCTTTTTGAATCTTGAACTTCTATGAAAGTTTTAGATCTATATCTTAGCTTTCCATCCATATAAAACAGACCTAAATCTAAGTTCTACAACTCTAGTTATGATCCAATAACCGAATGGTGTTCCAGTTTAAATTGAACTAACATCTCTTTTATAATCTTAGCCATTTCTTTATCTTCTTACTTGCAGTAAGTAAACTCATCAATCAATCTATTGATTTATGTGATAGACCTATATTTAAGATGAATATTTACCATAAATTAAATATATCTTATATTATTAGATATATTATTATAAAACATACTCTATTTAATGAGTTATTGATATTTCAAGTGCAAAATAATGATATAAAACCTTGATAAAAATACACTTTTATATACTAATCATCATTTGTGTACTGACTTACAAGGGTAGCCCATGTGCCTGAGCCCTTAATTGTTTTTTTTTTTAAAAAAAGCCAAAGACATTTGCCTTAATTTTTCTTTAAAAAAATGAAATAAACAACACATTTCAACTATTATAGTAGCCATAAAATTGGGTTTTTGGTTTTTTTTTTCATAAAAACCTAATTTTTAACCCATTTTATACTCAAAACTCCTAGAAAAGACCCTAAACACCTTAATAAACCCATAAATATTCATAAATAAACCTGAAAACAAAAACAAAACCTAAAACAAAAACACTTCTTGAGTTAAGATCTTTTTTAGGCAATTATAAGGCTTAAAAACATCAAGGTTGAGCCCCTTTCATTGTTGGTAACAAGATAGATAATTTTGGTGGCTAGAATAATTGTAAACACCCTTTTTCTCTCTTTAATGATGGAATCCAGGAAGTCCTCCTTTCTCTTTTCTAATTAGAGATTAAAATATAAGAAAAATAAAGTTTTGGAGCAAAATTTAATCTTAAACATTAAAAGAGACCAAAATTATATTATTTGTAAAGTTTAAGATGAAAGTGTATTTAAAAAAAAAACTTTGGACACATCACCCATTTTGGCTACCTTTTTTCATTTAGATCCTTCTTCCTTCTATGTTGCCTTTGCTTAAGAAATCATTAGCAATTGACTTTTAATTTAGGGTCAAATCATCAAAAATAAAAGTTTAAAAACTAAAGTGAAAAATAAAAATATACAGTAAGTGAATAGTAATATATGAGCATGTGAACAATGCAACATCGTGTTTTGTCTATAGTAAAAACACCACATGCTTTAATTTTAATGATAACTAAAAATAAAATTTAAAAAATTAGGAGTCTTATACAAATCAAGATATTTAATCCCATAAGACTAGATATTTATCAAGTTGTTTTTGCTAAATTTATTTATTAATTTTTTTAATCAATTGATAATAGAAATAGACACACATATTAAATTTATTGAATAAAATAAAAGGAAAAACAATATTATGCAAGACTGTATATATTAGAAATATTATATAAAAATAAACATTTTTATTTTAAAAAATAAAGTTCATATATACAAAAGATTAAAAAAATTATAAATGACTCAGAATAATCTTTTTAAAAATTAAACATACAACACCGAAAAAAATATCTATGAAAAAAGGTTAAATGAGCAAAAATAAAATCACAGGGGAGGGATATTAGTTTAAAAACTAATTCAAATTATTTTTAAAAAGATTTATTAAAAAATCAATTAAAAAAATATTAAAAAATAATAACTTGGGTGTTGTGACTTAACTCATCAAACTCATGATTCAAGTCATTAACTCAACTAAGTTTAATAATTATTTTTATCTTAAATTTATATTAAAAAAAAGGCAAAAAAAATCTTAGACTCACAATCCTATGGCCCAATAGCCCAGACATGTAGGTGGGCCTAAGGATTTTTTTTTTTAAGAGATGGATGACTTATCATTCACCTCTATTTTTGTAGGAAAACAAACAAATGACGTATTGTCTGCAAACCCAGATTCATGTTATCATTATGCTGATCGGAAAATTAAAGCAATGTTTCTTTTGCCCAAAAAACATAATTTTTAATCATTTCAATTCAAAAACATCTCACCAACACCTTTAATATACCTACAAACTAACCCGTCAACCCAAATATCCACAAAGAGTTTTAAAACCCAAAATCAAACTAGATTAGTTTTGGCTTCCTCGACCAGGCAAGATTGAGGTTCTAAAAAATCACTTTCAACCTCCTCTTATCGCATAGAACTTGTGGACACCAAGAAAAATTATTTTGGTCACCGAAAATGGCGTGAACGATGATTTTCTCTCTTGTCATTAGAATTCAGTGTCCCATCTCTCTATCTTTCCTCTCTCTGTAACCAAGGTTGAAAAAAATATACAAATGAGCTTTTTTTTTTATCAAAAGTAAATTTATGAAATTTAAACGATCCTAAATTGTATAAATTATGTTATTTTTAAAGATTGATGACTTAAGCATATTTTTTATGAAATCTCTAGCATTGACCCATATTTAACGCCTATTTCATTTCGTTTCTTCTTTCAATTCCACTATTGCCTAAAAATCGAAAGTAACTGGGCTTCAATTAGGATTAAGTCACCCAAAAAACAACTTTGAGGACCAAAATAAATTATTACAAAATAAACAGTAAATCCATAGTGTTCTGTAAGTGTATAAACAATGTCAATCTATAGTAAATCATTCACACCTTTTAACGTATTCTATAATTTTAAATTAGGCCAATGGAAATATATTTTTTTCTCACTGTCTCTTTCTTGATAAACAAAGTGAATATTGCAATGTTGTCTAATATTATATTGTAAAAAATAAAATATTAAAATTAAAAATTAAAAAAAAAACACTAAATCACATCAATATTTTACTATGGGGATTCATCATTGAATAATTGCATCGTGGATTGCTATAGCACAATGATGTCTTTGCCTTCCAAGAAATAAACCAAATGACTTGTCTTCAAGGGTAAAATAGTTTTTTTTTTCTAGGATAGTCATTTGTTATTATAAAATTGATTGATGATATAATGTTGTATCAACTTTTTTTTCATAATTAAGTGATATAGATACACTTAAAAAGCAAAAGAAAATAAAAAGTCAGGTTAAGTTGGGCTATTGTATCATTTTTTTTTAAATAAAATTAATCACTGCCTTTTAAATAAAAGAATATAGAAGGCA